ATCCGCGAACATCGCCCTGGCCGATGTTTTGAATGTTCTGTTCAAGTACGAATTTTCAACATGTGGCCTGTTGTAAGTTGCTGAAATTAGAAGCTTCTACCTGGTATATGGACGGAAATTTTACAATGGCTCCACTAATATTCCAACAAATTTACGTTATTCGAGTTAAAGTAAATAGTTTTTTTATAACTGCTGCTTTTATTTTACTTGAAAATAAAACAGAGTCGAGTTACGAAAAAATGCTTCAAATCATTATTCATAAATGTTCCGAAAGAAATTTGTTTCCAGACCCACAAATAATTAATGTGAACTTTGAAAAAGCAGTAATCAATGCTATAAAAACTGTTATTGGAGAAGATGTACATATCCAAAGATGCTTTTTTCATCTATGTCAAAGTACCCACAGAAAAATACAAGTTAGGTCTTGAACAACTGTACAGGTCAAATGAAGAGTTTTCTCATTTTTGTCGCATGTTAAACAGCCTGGCGTTTTTACCTATAAATGATATTAATACAGATAAGTAGTGAAAACGTAAAATATAATTTGCTAATTAAAAATATGGGAAGGTTAGGTTAAATTAGTATAAAACATTTTATAAATTTGTAAATACATAAATTAATATTTTTGAACTGCTATTATAAAATTATAAAATCTCATGATTAGGGCCCGGTACTTGATGCATTTGCACCATTTTTTTCTAATGTTTATATTCGAAACTCGTCTTTATAGAAATTTGAATTATGTCACACAAAATTCAATAGTACAAATTTAATTTTGCGTTTTTACTTATTTTTTGATATTTCTGGGTTGCATTTTTTTCGACTTTTTAGGTAATCAAGTTAAAAAAAAAAACTTCAAATGTCTATAAATAGCTTGATTTTTTTCAATGTTTAACATATTTAAAAAGTGTCATGCCTAAAGAAGCTACAGATTTGGTCGAGTATTTTGAGCGCACATATATAGGGGCGTATAAAAGAGTTAGAAACGGGCAATCGGAGACAAGTATAAAATTTCGAAAAACATCTCCCAATTTTCCACCATCTGTCTGGAATGTAAGAGACGCAACATTAAACCATGGAGATCGGACTAACAATATATGCGAGGGATGGAATAATCAGTTTTCAAACATAGTAAGTATTTATAATTTGGTATTAAAATTCAATAATGTAATACAATATGTCTAATACTGAAATAGGTGAATCACTAGCATCCAACAATTTGGAGATTGATTACCAAGATGCGACATGAAAATGCAGCAGACGAAACTAAAGTCGCACAGCGTCAACTGGGTACTATTGGACGACCACCGAAAAATAATAGAAAAGATAGATTAAAAAAGCTTTGTGAAGAATACAGAGATGGCAGGAGGGGAATTCCAAATTTTTTAAATGCTATTGCTAATTTTATTAGAAAGTAAAATACAATTTTCTACTTATAAAAACAAATTTTTTTTTACATTGTAACTCAGGTACATTTTATTTTATATTATTTGACTAATGTTCTTGCAGTATATTTTATGATATTATAACGATTAACGTAATTTTTTATACTTTTAGTAATATACAGCTTATATAGGTTGAATTAATTTTATGAGTTAATTTTTATAATTTAATATTTAAGCTAATATTTTCAGAAAATGTAGGTATTTTTTTATAATTAAATAATTTGATATTTGAACTGGTTTTATTAGAAAGTATAGTGTAATGTACTAATTTTCGGAAAAACAGATAAATTTGGATAATTTGTCCTTGGATATTTTGACCTATTATACATCATAATTTTTCGCGGTACACTCATGCACTGGACCACAACAAAAACTTTGGCTACGCCAAATTCAGTAAGGTTTTAACTGTGCAGTGTACATTATACAGTTTACCTACATATATATCTGCAGAATTAATTGACATTTAACTGTCACAGTTTTATCGATCGGTATTTTCAAATAACAGACATTTTTCGCGGCACAGTAGTGTGCCACGGCACACCGATTGAGAACCACTGATGTACGGTGTAGTTTGAACAACGTACACCGATAGTGTGTAGGCAATAAAACAGATGAAAAACACCGTAAACGGACACGGAGTAAAAACTGAGGAATTTGATTTTTTGTCCGTGTTCGGTGTTCGAAATGAAGAAAACCGAAGGTGTATGTCCATATTTGGCGTTCAAACTAAAACCATGCAGTTCTAAAAACTTTTTAAATTAAATAATAATAATAAATTAACAAATTATGTACAAATTATTAATATTCTATTGATTATTTTTAAAATTCTATTATTTTTACATACTTCGCCACTCACTTCTATTATATAGAAGAGTTTTATATCTTTAGTTGCTCTTTGAAAGGTCAATACTATTATCTTTTTTAATTATTTGTAGTGTGGCTACTGAAGCAGCTATAGCCAAACACTTGGTACGTGATACAGGTCCCATATTGAAAGGAAAACGTATTAAAAAAATAAGCACTCAAAAGTGTAGCGTATTTAAAAAAACGTGGACGCTGGTAGATAACTGAAGACAATATTGCGTAGTGTGCGGATGTACGAATAAAACGATCCGTGTTGTTTGAACACTGTACCTACAATGATATAAAACGGATAGTGTGTGTTGTTCATCGTTGTACGAACTAACTACACCGTACACGGTACACGGACAGATAAAACCGTAGTGTGTGGCCACTTTAAATCCGCTAAAATCAAATAAATCTTATCAATTTATATCTTGTGATAAAATTTTCGGTTAGAGGGCTCATAAGGTTAATAATCGTGAAAAAAAAATAAATATTAACGGGTGGTCGGGCGGCGGTTGTGGTGGTAGTAAAAAATTATGGCGGGTGGTGGAGATGGTGGCTGGACCGAGCGAAGGGTATTGGTAGCTGGACCGGGTGGACCAAGCGGTGGTTGGCTGCTGTTGGCGGGTGTAGGGAGGGCCAGAATATACCTTCATATACTACTATTGACTCTTCATTTAGGTGTCTTAAGCATACTAAAAATTGTTCGATTTGACTAATATCAGTTGTCTCGTCAGCAAGAACAGAAAAAAAACTGGATACTAATTATTCTTCAATAGAAACTTAAAAATAATTTACTGTTCATTACGTACAGCTCATGTTTCTGTTATAATGATAACATATTATATTGATAGACTAGTAATTTATATTCTTAATTATTTATACATTATATTTTTGAAATAAATCAATGTATTAAATTAAAAAAAAAATAGAATACCTCCTTCCCCCCCTCAAATACGCCCTTGGTTAAAGCTTTAATATAAACGAAAAAAAAATATGAATTGGGTAATTAAGATAACACTAAGAAAAAATATCACCGTGGGCCCAATTCAAGTATTCTCAAATGTGAATAACCATGGACCCATTCGAGTATTATTAAATAACACCAGGGGCCCAATTCTTATTTATATATAAAGAGCTATAAAATTAAATCTTTATACGATTATATTGACAATATTTTTAAAATTTAGTCAACGTGATATCATTAGAGGCTGGAAAAACCATTTAATTATCGACTATTAAATAAATTTGTAAATAATTAAAGAACAAAATATTTTCTTTATTTAAACAAGACAAGTAACTATTAATTTTTAAAGGATCATTCAAAGCATAGCACATATTCAACTAGATACTTTTATAGTCTTAGGAACCCACCTAAGTGTAGAATATTCGAGTTATTAAGATTTTTATTTTTTTTCCACCACCTATATATTTATTGCGCTTTAAGTTAAAAAAATAAATAAATATAAAGTTATTTTCATATACATGCTATGCATATTTAATAATTTGTAAAAAAATGTATTTTTTCTTTCTCAACCTGTATAAGGTTAAACCTCTAACATAATGTTGAAAGAAGTTTTTCTAGTTAAAAAAAAGTTATCTATTGAACAGTCATCAAGTACTTGAAATTTAAAATCTTAAGAAACTATTGATGGTTCAATGAAATAACTTAACAGTCATTATGGCCCATGTATTTTTTCATATTTAACTTAAAAAATATTGAAAAAATATTTTTAATTATATTTGAATTCAATAAGATGTCAAAATATCAAATAGTTATACATTTTTTTTTTCAGTTATAAATAATTGTTGTATATATTATTAATTTAACAACATCAGATGTAATTTTTTTTGCTTATTTAATATTAAATAAATAAATAATTGCATGCATATTTTGTCTTTTTAGCTCCTGCAACTTCCGAGCCCTAGTAATAATTAACTTCTTGACTGTTATAAAGTCACCAAATTCAATTTTTTAACAATATAATATTGATGTTAAGCCTTCAATTATATTTTAATTACAGAAGGCAGTCAATACTTAAAATAGATGATGTCTGATAATACATTTTTCAATTTAAGAATCATACTGAATTTTAACAGCTTTGTGAAAGAATATATTATAAATTTTGAATTAAATATAAAAGATCAAGTAAAATTTTATTTCTAAAGTTATATTTTACTATAATACAATTACTTTAATTGTACTTAAAATTAAAAAAATTATAGTTGTACATTTTTTTTAAATAAAGTGTACAATAAAAAAATTACCACTGTTAAAACTTATCATCCATAATATTGACTAAAGGAAGAATAAAAAAAATCAACAACAAATGAAATGCCTTTTTATATACTTCAACAATATGAATACAACTTAACTTAAAACACTATTTTATAGTTAGACCAACTTCTCAGTGAAAATTAATAGTTTAAAAAAAAAAAAAGTAATTACTGTTTATGTTCTTCCAAAAATGTAATAGGAAATGTCAAAGTGGTCATAAAAGAATAACAATTAATAAAAAATTAAATTATAATAATATAAAAAAAGGATATTTCTCATACATTGTACTAAAAAATATTTGTACATAAATCAACTACCTAGTCAGTCAAAAATAAAAAACTAATTTTACAATTTTTAATACTTAATATAACAATTTTGATCTTCTAATTATAAAGTATTTATAAATATAAAATTAACATATTATAACAGTATTCAAAAAAATTTTAATATAATAATAATAAACAAACAGGAATTTTTAAGGAAAAGAATATGTAATTTCAGAAATCACAAGAATAATAGTTAATAAAAATAAAAAAAATGTTTGTAATGTTTCATTAGTTGTATAACTTATTTAGTTTCATAGCGATCAGTTTGATCTGAAAAATTCATTATAATTAACTCACTAAAAACATATTAATACATTTAATGACATTAACTCCTTAAATAACAACATGGCAACATTATCTAGTAAAGAAGGTAATTAAAAATTATGTAGAAATAAGTCACTATAAAATATAAAAACATACGAAATTTTAAATTATTTAATTAAATATATGATACATACCAATGTATAATCGGGTAAACTTCGCCATACCTTGACATATATTTTTTAATATATTCTGACACTTTCTCCTTAGTGATATTATTTATTTTTAATTTATCCGGTCTTTTGCACTGTAATTCTTTTAATAATACATTTGAATTTAACTGAAAAAAATACATTTTTTAATAAAACATGATAAAATTAATATGATAAAATTACCTTTTTGGCAAGGAACTTAAAATCTTCATTATTTCTTATACGTGCTTGTTGACAAGTTGTTTTGGCATATGATCCTAAGGTCTTAACTATAACAGTGGCCATTGAATGATAATAATCAACTACTTTCTTCACTTCTTTTCCATTGTCAGGAATAAGTTTTAATACATCTATAGATAAAGACATCATGCTTTTAGGTATCATATGCTTTCTCTGACTTAGCAATTTCTTTAATTCAGTTGATTTTTTTTTATTACAGGTGTGTTTATGTCTTGATGCTTTGAATTTTGTAACAATAGGCGTAATAATTTTATTATCTGTTGTTTCAAATAACTGTTCAATTTGAGGGAATTGAAAATTATTACCTTGAACAGTAGATGTGGATGGCTGAAGGATAGATTTGGCTTCATTGCGTATTTCAAATGGATGGCATTTCATAAATGGCTTTTGCTTTATTGTGTTTTGGTTCAAATTGATAGGACGTACTTCTGATTTCGGGGAAATAGGTGATGTTTCACCTTCAATCATGAATGTAACTCTTTTCTCTTTAGGTTTTCTTAAATGACCATCAACATTAATACCATTTCGTCTTTTTAGAGCTGATTTTGTTGTAATGGCGACACCATTTTTTAATGCTAATTTATGTATACTACCCTTTCGCATTATATTACGTTTTGTAGCTGGTATTTTGTCATGATTTCCTTTTAAACCTTTCAGTTTAAATCCCCATTGTCGTTTAATAACAGGCACAACACCATTTTTTACTTTTACATGCGAGACTACTTTTTTAATTATTTTGGGTCTCATATTTTTATACAATTCAATTTCTTTGTCAGTTTCATTACAAGTAATTACTTCAGAATTGGTAAGATTAGTTGAGACAAACTTACGTGGTACTAAATTTTCTTTTTCAAGCTTTGACTTTTTTAATAAAGAAGTGAATATGGCTTTAGCAAATTTATTTTTTCCAGATAAAGGAATAGTCTTAGGGGTCGGCATCAAATCTTCACTTAAAGTATTAGAAGTTACACCTGTTTGTTCATTGATAAAAGTAATTCTTCTATTTTTATTACAAACAGTTTGCAACCGAGTTTCCGATATGGGTATATTTTTTAATTTTGTTTTATCATTTTTTTGTTTCAAAGTCTTAATTTTAATTAATTTTGAAGGTTGGTTTTTAAAAGAATTACTAATAATTTTAATTCTAGCTAATAAATCTATACCAGACTGAACAGCTCTTGGACATAAATTTTTAGAATGTTCAATTTCTGTATTCATTTTTAGATTTTTATTATAATTGTAATGCTTGAGTAAACTCTCATTGATCAAATTGAAGACATTGGACTCAGCTGATTTCAATAGACATGTTTTAGGAGAACTATCAGGTTTTTTTAAATCTTGATGATCAGGTGTACTGTTAGGTAATATGGCTGACTTAAGAGGTAATTTATACGGATTATTAGGGAGTGATGATGGAGTGTTAAAAAATGTTTGTTGATTACCTAAATGATACTTGGGAATTACTCGTAATTGTGAATAAGAATCTAACTGTGGAAATTGAACTAATGGTTGTTGAGGCGGCATAGAATTTAAACAAGGAATTTGCATATTGACTGTTGAATCTGAAACATAACAATATAATTATTTTTTAAACTTAAAACAAAACTTCAGACCAAAAACCATTTAATATATATATATAAAAAAAAGTATATAATTATTTATCCCAACATTTTTAACTTTTAATTTATGAAGAAAGAATCTTAAGAAAGTAATATTATTTGGCTATTGGTTTATTATGGTAAAAAAAATAAAAAAAATACTGAATTATTTTATAGTCTTTTACAAATTGTAAATCATCATAGTAGTTTATCAGTAGAACTAAGAATGTTGTTATTTAATTTTTATTCTTAAAATACATTAGTTGCAACTAATTTATAAAAATTTAGTTTTCAATAATTCGTACTTATATATATATCATAATTATAAAATTACTAACTTTGGCTTTTAGGATTCAATGTTTTCTGATGTGATAAGAAATGTTGTTCTGGTTTTTTTGTCATCACTCCTTCAAGGTTCTCAAACCAATCATACATCACTTGTTTTCTAAATCTATTAAAAAAAAAATGTTTGTTAAAAAACTATCATAACCATATTTTAAAAATAATTAGTATTTACACATTTTTCCGGTTTTGCTCTATTTTTTGTTCATATTCTTTTCGTAATTTCATACGTTCAAATGATACAGTTTGCTGATTTCGCAATTTATTTGAATATTTATTTGAAACTTGAAATCTATTATTAAAGAAAAATATTGTAAATAAATTATAAGGTACATGTTGTACAAGTAATAATTATTTTTACGTTTTTCGATCTATAACCGATATATCCATATACGAGCATGAATCTATGTTATTTTTGTTTAAATTAATTTCTTCAATTGGTTTATGCTGATCTGTTTTTTTGGGGATTTTAAATATCATTTTCAATACAATCCACTTTTTCCACAACGCTCTAGATTTTTCTACCAAAACATTTATTGTTTCACTATTATTATTGGTTGGTAGTAAGTTGTCTATTTCTTGAATATGCTTATGTAGTTCTATAACTGGATAATCTAATCTAAATTAAATTAAAATTTAACAATTTTATTACTATTTTAAAAATAAAAAAAATTAGTGCATAATATAAATTGAAAAAGGTGAAAATATTTCAAATTTCAAAGAAAATTAAATTTATGTAAATTAATATGTAATTTAATTTAATTTAAACAAATATTATTGTATATGTTCAACTAATTAAATATGACTTTCATACTAAGTATTTTATATATAAATTAATAATTAAACTGCACAAAAAAAAAAAAGAGAACTCCTAAAATTTAAAATTAAGAGCCAAGTATCCATACTTAATTAAACTTAATACCTTTCAATTTTAGTTCTGACATCTTGAGAAATATCTGCCCACTCAGCAACAACATCTATAACTTTAGATTTTGTAATGGTGTTTCTATTTGTAATAGGTAATTCAGCAAGAATTTCTAAAATCTTTAAGTTTTAAAATTTAAAAATACAATTAAAGCAAATACAATTTTGTACAAATATTTAAAACTACCATTAGCTTAAATGATTCATTTTCATTTGAAGTCATCCAATTGTGAATAATACTCAGTCCACTGAAGTCCATAAATAAACGTTTGTTCATATCATGTTCTCGAATAAATGTTAAGACATGTAAACGACTAACACTGTCTGTAATATGTACCATAAGTCTATTTAAATTCAGTGTTGCCATTTCTTGATCAGCTTTTAATCCAGTTTTTAATTTAGCAATTTCTGTTAGTTGTCTACCTAACTATTAAATAAATATAAATACAAAATTAAAATAATTTATACAAAAAAAAAAAAAAAAAAAAACAATTAGATTTGATATTAACAAAAAAGGGTTTAGGGAAACAATTCCAAGTGCAATGGCATACATTTTATAATTTCATTAGTGAAAACTTTAATGATAATATATTACAGTAAATGTTTTCAAAAGTCATAAAAAAACAACTGTAATAAAGGTTCATATATTCAAAAATTAGAAAAGTTTGAAAAATAAAATATTTCAGTTACTCTTTTAAGTCATATTTGTTTATAATTTGTATAATTTTTTATACCATATGGTACAAATTTAATTATTTATAATATGCATATGGTTAATGAGTAGCAAAGAATTTCTATTTTTTAAAAACTAAAATCAAATAAAAAACATTATTATTCATAAGACAAATAAAACTGGAAATATTTCAAATGATTGTAAACTTAATTATAATTATTTAAATTGTTTATTTTTGTTAAATTTTTGTGTTCAATTACAATAGTAATTATAAGAATATAGAATCAAAATAAAATAGTAATAATGGATTTATAATTTATGATTATGTATAAAGGATGTAGGATAAAAAAGTTCTTGATTTTTAAAATTTATATAATTTTGAAAAATTCAGAAATATTTATTACACATGCATGAGTATAATATATTGTGTATGTTATTAGGATAAATGAGTAAGTTGTGTTATTCTTGTATCCATATTATTATTTAATGTATATTAAAATACCTCTCTTAATTTATTTTCATTGTTGTAAACAGTCCTTTTATTTAGAATTCTTTTTTTTTTCTGATTCTCTCCAGATGCACTATCTTCTGTAGCGTCTTCACTATCTTCTGAATTACTTAGACTAGTAATTGGTGTTGCTTTACTAATAAATCCTCGACATTTTGATGAACCGCAATAACATACTTGAGCACCATCTCTAAAATTTAAGCATTGAAATACATAAATGGAAAATGTTTTTTTTTTATACCACATTTTTTTTACCCAAATATTTGAAAACTATAATCAAATGTGATTTCTTCACCTTTCTTTATATATCGAGTGCTAAAGAATCCAATACGAGACTGTCCCAAAACATGCCACTAAAATTAATAAATACATTTTTAATTAAAAATTAAAAATGATTTTTAGTTCTATATTGAATAAATATATAACATAAAATAAAATTTAAAATAATTTTTCAAAAATATTGTTAGGTATTACTTTAGAAAGGGGAAAAAAACCTAATATATTAATGTGATAATAATATTTAAATGGCCAAGTCTTATTATCAACACAAAAATTTAAATACAATCAAATATCAGTATATTTTTTAAAATCTGATATATATTGGGTAAAGATGTTTATTAAATTTCTCCAATAAATGGTTTGGTTATTGTATTATTTTAAAATTTAAGCGTAGCCTGCTCTAGACAACTTAAAATTGAGAGTTGTAATAATGTTAAGGTATTACAATAAAAGAAAGCCTAATATTTTTGATTTAAAAAACCTATGACAAGTATCAAAGGCTAATAATTTGGTAGTTGTTACGTAGATAAACTTAAAAATTTCCCAGACTAAGCGGGTACTAATTAAAAATGTAAAATATAAAATAAATTAATCATATAAGCAAAATTAAATATAAAATAATCTGTTCAATTCAAAGTACAATAAATAGTAATAAATCAAAGAGCAATTTTTATGAAAAGTGAAACACTATATAAATTACACACTTCAAACCTTACCTTTTCACCAACTGAATTTGGATCACAACTATGGTTAATAAATCTAGTTAAGTTTCCTTTTGAAGTTGAATCAATAATTTCATCAGAATTTAATTGGACTAAATAATTTAGATTTGCATACTCTTTTTTTCTTAGACGATTACACATTTCTTTATAATCAATAACCTCACCAACATATTCATTAATCAAAACACCTCTAAAAAATTATAAAATATATTAATGTCATAAAAATAATTGGTAACACAGAATTCATGTACTTAGGAATATCTTCAACAGCACAGATTCCATAACCTTTATTTTCTGTTTTAATAATTTTTGTTTTTTTGAATTGTTTATTTTGAAATTGTTTGTTAGTACAATATCGCTTAAGAGAACAACCAGATCCACTATAATAAAATATATTAATATTAAGAACAAGCATACAATTTAAATGTAAATTGGATATATTCACCATTCAACTTTAAGTAATCGATTAAGACATCTGTCATCACAACCAGTAATTCCCTCAAGTATATCTTCTTTAGATAATGTGCACTCACAATAATCATTTATATCTCCAGATATTACTCTATTAATATAAAAAAATACATTGAAAAAAAAAATATTCATTTTTAAATAATTTTGAGACTATATAAAAAATAAGGAAAAAATGATCAAATAGTACTTTAAATAAATTTAATAGAATGCTTACCTTTGCTTTAGTGTACGTAGAGCAGAGATCTCAGAAGGTGGATATAATTTTAAAGCTTGCCTGGAAATATAAATATTACAATTGATATAAAAAGTTATCAGATTAGAGATATAATTTGAATGAGTCACTGAAACAAAACATTGTCTAAAATAATTTTGCTCTTTAGTTAAAATATTGACAAACACATAGGGTGCAATAAATATAATTCAATGTTACAATAATATTATAAGAACAAATTTAAAGACAGTAATAAAAAAAACATTATGATAAATTAAGAGATTCAAATAATGGATGAGAACATGAATTAGGTAAGTTACTGTAACAAAGCTGATAGAATTGAATTACATTTATAAATTTAAAATTAAAGAACCATTGGTTTCAAAAATCGATTTTGAGCAAAGAAGGATAGATTTATCTGACTATTGAAAGAAAGTTTGCATTGCTATAATACTTTATTAAAATTTTCTAACTTTATAGTATGTATATAATATATATGTATATATATAATATGTTACCAGCAATATGGATAATCCGGTATTTTGCAAAATGCCAAAAATCACTCACCAATATACGTAATACGAGCTTTCCCTAAGTATTATATATAATGCCAAACGTGGAGTAGGCAATATGATGAAAACAAGCGAAATTGGGCATCACCTATTACCAATAACTTTACTTAACCTTAATCATAAATGTACATGCACGATTTAAAGCAATACAGATTAATATTATTTAACTACTATAATAATAATTCTAAGGTACAATATTGAATGTACTAATAACTTTATTACAATATCGTAATTTTTCTCATCATTTTCGTGTTTCATTTTGATGTTGCAACTATGTCTACGATTTATATGAAGTCAAATTTTAATTACTACAAATTTTTTTTAAAAATTTGGCCATTGATACTAATTTTTTTATCTGATGAACAGTATAATGAATTGATAAAAATTCAATCCACAGGAATTGGCCAAGAATTTTTAAAATGTGTTTGTAAGTCCATGCGTTAAAATAAAAAGTGTATTTGTCTTAAAAATAACATTGTGTGCATTTCAAAATGTCACTTTTCTATAACATGTTATAATAAGTAAATAGTAGTTTAATTTTATCTATTATTATATAAATATTTTTCTTAAATGTTGTTTGTAATATGAGTAATAATGTATAATAATTATAAGAATCTTAATGTAATATAATAAAATGTTTTGTACTTTGCCAAAAAAAAAAAAAAATTGGCATTTTGCATAATGCTTAATTATAAAATACCTAGTTTATATGTAAAATAATATTGAAAATCATATGTTTATTTATATTTCCTAAAACGGGTTGGCAATTTTCATAATGCCTAGCAGTGGCGTACATTCAATCTTGCTCTGGGGGTGGTTTAACAAAAATAATCGTTATCTTTTTTTTTTTTCATTGTATAGATAAATAAGATATATAAGTACAATAAATAGATATTATTTTATACAACTTTTTTACCAATTTACAATTTACTTTTACATAACAGTAAATTAATAGCTATTGGAATATAAAAACAGCTTAGTTAACAAAACTTTTCAAATACCTATCAATATAATTATTTAATTATCATAATATTTGTATAGTTGTATATTTTAAGTTCAAAGCGTAATAATGAAACTACGAATAAATTACACATCATAAATAATAAAACTTTTTTTTTGGCCAGGGGGGGTTGAACCCAGACACCCCCCCCCCTTATGTACGACACTGATGCCTAGGCATTTTGCAAAATACCTGAATTACCCATTTTGCTGGTAGCATTCACATTATAATATATATACATTTAATTCCGTTTCCTAGTCATGACTATCAATCAATGACTATAAATTACTATTAATCAAGAGGAATAAATAGCATATAGTTATGTAAGCATTCAATTTTGAAGTCAATGTTACCTATTTTAAAAATTAAATAAAGCCATTTGTTTTTATTTTATAAAATTGAATATTACTTATAATTTTTCCTCTTTTATTAGAAAAACTAGTTATTCCTTTAATTATCTCTTTATAGCCTTTGGGGTTATAATATATTTAATAACATAGTATGAACAATTTTAATAGTGTTTGACTACTTGTAATATTTAATAAGTGATGAGAAGAAAAATCAAAGTGAAACTAATACATTTTTTGGCTCTGAATATAAAATAAAATAGGATAGCAAAGATATGAATATAATTATTGAATGATATTTCCAGTTTTAACAATTCATTTTTATAGTATGAAGTTTATAAAATTAATAATAATACCAACTTACCTGTTAGGTCTATATATATTTTCATTAACTAAAGTGAAATTGGTATTTTTTAATTTTTGATCAAATTCTTTATCATTGATCCGAGCTTCAAGTAATTGATTTTGATATTCTTTATACATTTCGTCTGCTACTTGATCATAATTAACTTGTGGAACTTTCATATCATCAAGTATTTCCATATTCTTACTCTTAGGTTTAATTCTTTTTGATTGTCTCCTATTTTTTTTGGGTGACTTTGTTTGTCGTTTTTTCAGCTTTAAATGATCAAAAACAGAATATTTTAATATATTCATATCATCAAAACTTTTAGAACGTTTAAAAATACTATTAGTTTTGATCTGGAAGTTATCTAAACTTTTAGAACGAATACTTCTAAATTTATTCCTAGGATTGTACCTTACATGATCCAAATTAGATGATAAGGGTTTAGGTACCAGCAAATTATTGGATTGAAAAGTTTTATTTTCATCTGATTGATTCATATATTTATTTAATTTATCTAATTGTTTTTGTTCTTCTAGATTTACTGAAGATATTTTATTAATTACAGTTATATTTGATTCTTCATCACATTTTTCAAAATGTTTTGAATTAACAAGATCAACATCTGTATAAGTTATTGTAGAAATATTTTTACCCGTATTTTTATTTGTCTTATTTTCTTCATTATCCAATTTATTGTTTTTATTTAGCTGTTGGTTATCAGTAGACAAATATGATTTTTTTAATAAAGTATCTTTTAAATTTAAATGCATTATTTCATTAGAAAGATTATAATTAATGCATTTTTCTAGTATACAAATTTTACTTTCTACTTCATTTGTATATTTGAACTTCCAAGATAAGGAAGCTCGGCGAATTTTTGGTTTTGATGGACAGTTTTCAATAATTTCATTAATATTGTCAGCACTCTTTGAATATTTTTTTGATTGAATATTTTTAATATTATTCCAATCTATTGAATGTTGTATAATACTATTTGACTTTTGGGCTTTATCCTCTTTATAATTTTCAGTAGTACTTAATAGTTGTTCTTTTTTACGACCTCTTTTCTTAGCAGCTTTAAAAGTCATACATTTTTTTTTTTTAACAGTTTTCAGTCCATTTAATTGTCTATAATCAGTTTTGTTACCACTAGTCCTACAAGATCTTCTTAATTCTATGACATTCAGTTCAGGTTCACAATTAATAATATCATTGAAATCACTAGTTGAAACATCTGTAATAGTATCAGACATATCTAATGAAGATTGTGACTCTTCCATCATCATTTCCATCTGGCAAGATTGTGTCCATCGAGATTTAACTTTCACAGGTTTTTGATAATCCATAGGAGAACTACTAGAAGACATTTTATCACTAACTAGTTAAATGTTTGCATTGATAAATCACTGTTTTTTTAACAGACAATACAACTCAGAATAATATGTTGTTTCAATTTTAGTATTTCTATAATCTTCATTTAAATTTTTTTTTTTTTAGAATCCGGTATTTCGCTTCACAACAAGAGATATATCTATGGACAAAATAAAAAAAAACATAAATTAGGCTATATAACAGTAATAATTTTCAATCTAAATTTATATCCCTAGTCCCAAACCATTTTCATAATGGTCTTAGGCTAGTTTTTGTATTTTTTAAATTACATAATACATAATAAATATAAATTGTTAGCTAAATAACTAAACTCTGTTTTATGAGGGATCATGCTGATTTTTCATAAGCTAATATCCATATTACACTGAACTTAAGTGAGTAAATTCAGGATAACAGAAATCTAGGATGCTGACATGCAAAAGCATCTCTTGTCCCAATCTAAATTATAAATACTATAAATAGGTGTTTCTTTGTATTATTATTCATTAAAATACCAATTAAATCAATACATTTGAATATTTGTAAGATAACAAAATATAGTATCGAAGCAAGTTCTTACTATATATAAATATGTGTGTATATGTATGTATATATTTACAATCAATTTAATTTTCAATTAAAGTCCATACAAATTATGCAAAACTTTAGATAGTTGTCAATTGTATACATTTTTGTTCAAATTAACATAATGCTAGTTTTAAATATTTAACTATCTAAAATAATATTAATAAAGTTAGAGGTAATTATAACCTAACATTTATAATTATTCAATTTTACTTAATATTATAATCTAATACAAGTGATAAAAAAATTGATACTTTTTAATATTATTATTTTTACATTTAATAAAATCCTAAACCAAAATATTGATGAATAATACTTACGTCAGAGAATTACTGGCTATTTATGAATATTAATAGTAGTTGACAGTGTCGGATGTTGAAATTGAATGATACCCAATTACTGAGTTTTACTGTGGTCATTGATTATTACTTATTAGTAAAAAATACTCATACACGATTTATAAACAACGTTTTTACATATATTTTGTCTAGGAGACATCAAAGAGAAACTAATTAATTTTCTTCAAAGTTAAAACATTTATTAAAATAAAACAAATGAATAAAGAAGAGTTGAGAACACAAAGGCCTTAATACCTACATTAATTTGTACTGTAATATAAGTGAACACTATTTAGCACATCATAGAATCTGAGGTATATTCTGTGGTAGAATGCAGATCAAAGAAATCGTAAAGATGGAAAAGTGAACGCTTATCAGTTATCACCAAAATGATTAACCATAATTCCATGTTTTTATTGTGAAAATACAAACCAAAATTACATATTTATACGCAAGATAGCGTATACCCCAAACATTTCTTTCATATACATTATGTTTCGGGGGGGGGGGGAGTAGGAGTAACCAACCAATGGCATATGAAAGTATTTATACTAAAAATGATGAATACTATTGAAAGAGGTGGTTTAACTTTTTTATTTTGTAAGTTATGGGTAATTAATTTTTTTTTAACAAAACCAAACCTACCACCAGAGGTAGTTCGTCAGGGGAGACTAAGATATTGCGTCTCTTCTTAAAAAAAAAAAACAGATATTTATAAATAAATAACTATTTAAAAATGTATAGAAATATTTTTATTTTTATTTTAAATATGCTATAGTGTTTTCTATATTTATTATTATAAATTTTAGGCCACAAAATATAAAATCTATTTTAGTAATTTCGATGACAGTCGCCGTTTCAATGAAACTGACATCCAACAGGTTCAATCATTAGAACAATCCCTAAAACAATACAAAGATCCCCAACCCATTCACACTGATAACCAAGCAACACAATGGAACTATAAATATGACTCTGTTAAGTACCTTAGTGGTTTTTTGATGAAAAACTGACATGAAAAATTCATATAAATAAAAAATTCACTTATAGCTATGCAATAATGAACACACTTTACCCCTTGGTAAACTATAAATCAACTCTCCAAATGAAATCGTCCATTGACGGTGTTGTTAAATATTAAGATTATTATACACCCCAATAATTCGACCATTAATCACTTACGCCTGCCCAATGTAAACAGCAGCCTCCTCTACTAAAATCAACAAAATTAAAATCCTTCAAAATAAATCCTTAAGAGTATGTTTAAAAGCCTCATGGTTCATGAGTAATAGACAAATAAGTACACAATGATACAACAATCTCACTTCTCCAAGACTGGGGATACAAATTCAACTCAAAAGCTTTCACACAAATCTCAATACATCCAATAACGCACACTTCTACAACTTGGGAAACATAAAGTCGGCATTTAAAACCACGCTTACCACAAGATTTTCTTCTACCAGATTCAAATGAAGATAAAGAGGAAAATCAACCTTAAATTACCATTGAATTTACCCATAAACTCAGTGGCGTAACTGGTAAAAAACTTAGAGGAGGCAATATAATATATTTATTATTACCAAAACCCTTACATCCCTTCCTCTCACCAGTTAAAACATATTTTTATTGTATGTATTTTATACACTATATCTAATTATTTGGTTTTATATAAGTCTTTTAACTCATTTTATGGTTTAGATAAATATAAATTGTAGGTAGCATGTGCTAGGTACCAATATTGTTAAGTAATATCCATAAGAGTTCATTAATAAAAGATGCTATTTGTACTGTTGGATTATCTGGGGGGAGGGGGAATCATACCTTTATCACTCAAAAGATTGTCAGAGGGGGCACTTGTCCCCCCCTTGCCACCAACAATTACGCCACTGCATAAACTAATAGGTTCAACATAAATTATCGCAATAGATGTCAATGTATTTAATGTGAGAAGGCACATGGTAATATGAGCACTAGACAGGTAAACAATAAAAACTGGCGATGTTTACGATCGCCCGATTATTTATACCTACTCCAAAATTGTGGTAAAAAAAAATGTGGTAGTATGTAGATAATATAATATATTATATATTATATATATATATATATATATTTTTTTTTTTTTTTTGATCGGTTCAAATGTGTAAAGTAGAATGTAAACTTATTAAGTTTATACCATTGAAGTATCTATAGTTTTAAATTTTAAAATTGAAAAAATTGTCAAAATATGCAAAAGTATGCACTCTCAAATTTTAGATCTGATATCATGGCACCGATAAATGAATTTATTTCCCACTTTGCTATTTTTAACCATAATTAACAAAAGTATGCAAATGCTAGAAGTCCCTAAGCCTAGCCATAAGTGTGTACTGTTACAGTTACAAATGAAGATTAAAAGTAATTGATCTGATTATAATTTTATTTAGTTCAGCATTTTATTGCATGTTACATAATAATAAAAAAATAATAATAATTGTTTATTATATATATTATATATACAAGTATTGTAGATTGTAGATAAATTAATAATTTGTATTAACTAACGAACAATAAAATCAATTTTTTTTAACTTAGACCTTCCTTATATAACCTAACCTTAAACTATACTTTTTTATGTTCAAGTCTGTGAAACATCACATTTTGGTAAATATTGAGTGTAAATCATAGACGTGTTCTGACTTTTGTGGGGGAGGAGACATTTTATAAATCGTGAGACCTAATTTTTAACATTATAAAACACATACATAATACTACTGTATTATATTTTTCTTATATGCGTGCGCAAGGGGTATGCAGGCTATTATAATAACCCAAAAATGAAAAGAAAAAGAACGAGGGTTAAAAGAGTGAAAGGTAAAGGAAAAGAAGGGGAAGTAAGGATAGTAATGGATATAGGTAAAGATATATAGTGAGTTTGGATTTATTACCTTCTTCCTTGTTTAAGAGAGTGCTTTCGGGGTTACAAAGGTTTGAGGGCTGATTAGTGCAACTAGATAGTCTTATAAGCTAATTAAAATAGCACTTACTTGTTCCGTAGTAGATGAGCCGATGTGTTGATGAACAGACCACTTATAACTACTAAAGGAGTGGGAGTGAGGTTAAAATTAATTAATACAGTATTTAAAGGGTATAAAAGTATACTATATTCTTCGACACTAGCACAGAAAACTTAAATTGTAAAGTGTAATAATCGCACTTAGTAATAGTAAATGCCACAAGAAGCTCCTCGGAAGGTATCGGTGCGCTCTTATGACCAGTTATGTTTTTACATTGGAAAAATGATGCAAGCACTAACAATGTAAGATTCGTTTATTTATTTAATACACATCACATGATGGCACATACGTTATCTACCAATACAGGTTTTACAGTACGATAACTTATATCTATATATACATAACATCTTTCCCTTCTAAAATGTTAATTTTACTCTATATTTAATAATTATTATTACTACATTACATAATGTATACAACAAAATACAATTTACATATTTAATACTATTATGACACTTTACGAATATCATAAATATAATAATAAGCAATCGTTTAATACATAATATGAATTCATAACAAACAAAGTACATCAGCATATTTATTTTTTTTAATTTCCGTTGGATGAACATTTTCATTTAAATAACTCTTTCTTAATTTATTTATGTGCATTAATCTAATTTGACCATCCACCCGAACTAAGTAACTACATGTTTTTAACCTTTTCATAATACGTCCCGCTAATCATTTTTGCCCTTTAGAATTATTTGAAACAAGTACTTTATCATTTATTTCATATTTAATGACAATATTAATTTTATTATTATCCACAACACACGGTGGTTTCAACACGGACAAGTGATTTTTCGGTTTAAATTTATTTATTAATTCTGTCGGACTACAACTTGTACTTGTTGTTGGTGTATTTCGATAAGATGCCAAAATGCTATTAATTTTTGATTGCATTCTCTTCATGTCTCTACAACAAAAATTCTTTATTAACAACGTTTTTATTGTTTGTACACTACGCTCTGCCAACCCATTCGACTCTGGATTATATGGCAGTGAATGCACTCATTTTATACAATTTTTTTTGCTAAATGCTTTAAATTTATTAAACCCAAAAGGTGAATCAAAACGACTAAACAATCCTCTAATACATCATTTGCTACTTGTACCCCATTACAAAACACCCAATCTGCTTACTAAAAACTGTCGATTATAATTAACAATTTAACTTGATTAATTTCTAACAAATCGATATGCAATCTTTTCCACGACTCCGAGGAGTTTTCGCACGGTATATATACTTTTTCTCTTATACTCATATCGTTTTGATTACATTGACATTCTATACACAACTTGATAAACTTTTCTATATCTCTATCAATATTAGACCACACATTATACTATATGATCTTATGAGCATTAATTACAAGTAATCTTCCGCTAAATCTAAAACCATGAACACTTTACAAACCCCCCCCCCCCCACGATAACTTATTAAAAACATCGTCGACTCTTGGTAACGGGTGTTGTTCAATTTGTAAATTCGGATTTAACGTAGTTTTTAAATTTACACAGATTCAAATATTATTATTATTTTTTTGGTACAACCACGATAGGTGATGCCCAATCACTAATTGAGACCATACTCATAATTTTTCCCTTTTTTAATCTATCTAACTCTATTTCTATAGCAGATTTCAGTGCATACGGTATTTGATACGCTCTGTAAAAGACTGGTACACTCTTTTCTTCAACGATAAATTTATCTCATGATCCTTTATACAATCAATTATTTTCTCACTTATTTTTACCACATCAGTAAACCTGTGTCTAATATTATTAACTATTATTAAATATAATTAAAGTTTTTTTGATTTTGCATCTCGACGTTAACAAGTGTTTGGCCTAGAACCTTTATCGGATTACAATTTACGGAACTTATTTTAATAATTTTTTTTCTATTTTACATGAATGTTTTAAATACGTGTTTAAATATTTAATAGGCGTTGTTGATACTGACGCTCCACTATCTATCTCAAACGGAATAACTGCGTCATTAAATTTGATTTTAGTTACAAGTGGATTTCCCCCATTATTCTGAGACAATTTATTTACTAATTCAATACATTCTAAAACATTTTTTTCTTTTTCTTTTACACATTTTCGACGTATGCTCTTTTAACTTACATGAAAAACATTCCCACTCTCTGGCTGGGCATGTACGAATATTGTGCTTCTTCCCACATCGGTAGCATTGACCAAATTTCAGACCTCGTAGATTTTGACTATTTTGAGGCGCTGCCTGGCTACTTCCTTGACCCGTTTTTGATGAATTTCCAAGCACCGATCAGCCTCCAGGTTTTTCATTTCCTGTGAGTACCAATTTCGAAGACGATTTCTTTTGACGCGAGACACTTTTTTTATTACTGACAAAATTTACTTTAGCTGAATTATTCATTTGCTGTGTTTGTTTACACACTAACTTCGAATCCAAAGCAATTGTATACGTTTCTTCGAAAGTTAATGAATCTACGCCGAGTAATTTCCGTTGAAATGACTCATCACTTAGCTCGACAATAAAGCGATCTCGAAGTGCGTCATTTAAAAATGAACCAAATTTACAAAAACTTGCCAACAACTGCGAATGATGAAACAATTAATCCTTGGCCTTTAATTATATCATGAAACATATCTCTATGAAGTTTTAGCTTATCAATATTTATATCATCCTTGTAAAATTTACATATTATTTCGGGTGATAGTTTTGGATCAATTAAAAACATTTCCACATTACATAAAAATGATCGAATTTCAGAGTTAAATCTTAATTGTAAGCCAGAAAGTATATGATCAATGATTTCTTTATATATTTGATTATATTTACTTTCAGGTGAAAATTCAAAGGACTTTGTTACTCCGTCTTCATATTTTTGAGGTTTTTTCGTTTTCTAGATTTTTTTTTGTGGACCACATTATAAATTAAAAAAAAATTTCGACTGACATAGTGACACGCAAGGTACATCACATTTTCGTCGCCAAAATGTTATGTTTTTACATTGGAAAAATGACATGACGCAAAACACTGACAATGTAAGACTCATTTATTTATTTAATATGCATCACATGATGGCACATACGTTATCTACCAATTCAGGTTTTACATTACGATAACTTATATCTATATATACATAACATGACCATGAGCTCAGAACGTCCGTACTGTGACGGCTTATGGGCAACAAGCGGTATCCACTTACTGGCGGCCAATGCCCAAGAGCTCGTAAAAGGGTTTCTTGTCCTTGTTCTAGAAATGGACCTTGGACCGGTCCTTTAAGGGTTTGACCTACTTAGTATGTCAATAGTATATTTTTGGGTTTGGTCATTATTATTTGAATTGTGTTGTCTGAGCGCGTATCGAAAGAATCGTTATTTATTAGTTTCTAATATGTTATATAATATAATGATTAAAGAAACATACTAACGGCCTCCAGAGATATTGTAATTTAATGTGAAAATGATTTGTATCATAATATACAACAATAATTAAAAAATCTTGCCATAGGTACTTCCTGTATCAAAAGTATCAGCAGAACATAGTTTTTCGACTTTGAGAAGTATGAAGATTATCTAATAAATTCTACTTCAAATAAATTATCTTTACGATTTTGCATCAGTGAATATTGATAAAAAATTTTCAGTAACATACATTAGGTACTGATTTAAATAAGTTTGCCAATAGTCAGAGGCGTGCCCAGGAATTTTGAATTGGGGGAGGTTCAACTTTTTTTTTATACAATATTATAATCAATATACATTATGAATTAAAATGAAAAATTATAAGTGAACAAAGCATAATTTTTGTAGCATAAAAAATAAAATCATAAAATAAAGTCAAGTTTGCAAGGTTTCTTTAATAAGCCCGTCAAGGATTTCTTCATTTGAAAGTGGAATATTCATTTTATTATACAACGTTTTAATTGTAAATCAAACAATTTCAAAACTCAAAATATAAACATAATTACACACTTAAAAACAAATTTATATAAAGAATAAATTATATAATTATTATTAAAATAATCTGTGATATGGTATATAATAAATTTACAACTTGAGAGTCATATTTTGTGATTCATGAATGTACGTATTAGTTAGTAAGTAGTTACCAAGGTCTTAGAATAATAATAGTTCACCAATACAGACTAACAAGGAGAAAATGATAAATAAATAAATTGTTATAAAAAAAAATTTTTAAATTGGGAAATATAATCACTATAATTATATGTAAGTAGTTAATACATATTATATATTTGTCAAGTACCCTTGGATGGGTTTAAACCCTCACCCCCCATTGAGCATGCCCATGCCAACAGTAGAACAGTTAACTAGGCGTCTTCAACTTATTTATTTGTTTCGTTATAAAATGCTTTGTCTGTAGGGTTGCCGTACGTCCCGAAAAACCGGGATTGTCAGCAGTTTTGGACTTCGTGTCCCTATGTCCCGAAAAATGTTTTTGGGATGTCTATATGTCCCGGCTTAGACGTTTAAAAGAAATGTTGAATAGTTTAATTTTTATTTTCGACGATTTTATCTCAAAGTACATTTTTAATAGTAATCGATTAACAATAAATAATAAAAACATAATATGTAATTTACACATATAAATATATAGTTAACCTAATATATTTTATTTTATATAAATATTTTTGAATACCTATTATATTTCCGAACATTAATGGTCCTCTAAATTTATTAAAAGTAATTAAAGTAATACAAAGTATATTATTCAATAATGTGTTTGTTTCGCCTTATAAATGTATAGCAACCCTATGTGTATGCAATGTGTAGATGTGGAACTTGGAATTTTTACGCCTGGGGAAAATGTTAAAATTATGCCCTATCATAGACCAATAACCAAATACTCTTCTCGAGAATTTTTTTCTAATAATTAATATACAAACATACTTAATGAGTTTTAACCTAATTTAACAAATTTAAAAATATCAAATTAGTTGTTAATAATTACAAAAATTACACCCTCTAACATTTTACGCCCGGAGATGAATCTTCGTCTTCCACCTCCTAGTTCCGCCCCTGGAAATGTGTATATGTTAATATAAGTGGAAACATTTTTCTGATATTTTATGCTTAATGGTATTTAAGTATATATTATCAGCATCCGTAATAACATTTTTAATACGCGTCTGGCTGGCTTCAAAAATACTCGGCGGCCCTTGGATAATTATAAACAAATGACGATTTCTTGTGATGGAACCATAGGGTAAGCTCTATCGATCGATGGAACGCGGGTCGGAGATGTAGTCGGTCGAGGATGTAGTCGTTGCAGACCCAGCGACAAAGTATACAACCTCTCTGGTCGAGTATACCGATTATCGGGATCCCCACCACCGAACGACAGTTCCACGACAGGGGAACGGGTGGCCGGTGTGGGTTGGGCTGTCCATGTTTAGAAATGCATTTTTTTCCCCGACCACTGTCGCAGTTCGTCACCCTCCGTCCGTTCGTACGTTTTGTCGTTGCCGTGTCGTATGTATACAGTGATCCGTTTGAATCGTTCGTTGTCGTCGCAGTGCGGAAAATGTGAAGTGTTTTCAAACGAATTGTAAATTTTTATCTCTTCCCCTATCCTCGTCGAAATTTCCCAATTTTATCGTCCCTGACCCGATGGATATACACCCTCGCAACTGTCACCGGCACGTTAAAACACCGTCGGAAACGGTGTGATGTGTGCTGGACGAAGCTGACACTATTGTCGCCGTTGTAAAATAATTTCCACGGGTTCAGCTACAGCTTGAGTACCGGAACGGACTTTTGCCGACATCATTGTGCTTGTATTATACCTACTAAATTTGTGTGAGTACGAAACTACAGACTAAACGCTATGTACAAACCTAGTCATGACGTTTTGCTAAATTTTTACAGTAAATATTCTTTTTACCTTAAGATATCTGTGTATGTGTGTTTTCCGTGTGCAAATCGTCCCACACCGGTGCACGATCGCAGCAGTTGTGCAATTGTTTTTGTTTGCCATTAGTGTTTTGTAGCAATTTGTTTACCAATAGGATACATCTACATATTCGTGTATTTACCCGTTCAAATATTGCTCATTAAAATATGTTTGATTGTATAATATGTATAATATCCGTGATAAAAGGAATTATATTTTTTTGATCTTGTAATGTTAGACATGAATTCTGTATATAATAGAAAAATATTTCTCATTCTATTTGTATATTTATAATGTGCTCTTTGATTTTGTGTTCATGTACTCAATCTATCATTACCAACACCTTCAACTTAATGCATTTTTTTTTTTTACTGAGAGATTAATGTATAAATATATATTACTCATGAATATCTATAGTTAATAACCTATGGTTCATTGAGAGTATTTTACTGAGGTTTTATTTTGTTGTTAATTCCTTTATTTTTCCATAAATTAAATGGTAAAATATGTAAGTATTCCATTAAAAAATATATAGGTATATATTGTATAAGATATCTGTTAATAGTAATATTATTACTCTTATTATTTTGTTATAACCTAACTTCTATATTTTGGTTACCAATTATGTAAAAAGGTACAATAACTCAAAAGTTAATTATTAATAAACATTCTTAGAGTATGATAATATTTCTTATCAAGTTACAGTATTGTTAAAAATTATCCGTTCCCATATTATCCAGTAACATATTTTTAATAGGTAATTTTTAAATATGTAGTATTTTGGATAGTAAAATGAGTATAAAAATTAAGTTTATATCTTAATGGTGGTGAAATTCATTACAAGACCTTACAAGTTCTTGAACTTACCTCAGTCCAGAAGTTGAATATTTTATATTTACTTAACTATAAACTATACATACGTAATTGATTAGCTTATTATACTAGCTTTTTCCAATCTTATTAGTTAGCATAACAATGTTGTTTTTCTTAATTATCCAAAGTTGTATGTTTGGTTATATTATCCTCAAGTTTAAATTTTTATTTTGAGGCACTCAACCATTGTATATTTACTTGTTCTTTTTTCATTAATTAACTAACCTTTCCAACTCCAACAATGAGAACCCATCATTCAAATTTGTATATTAATAAAATTAAAACTTCATTTTTTTATATTGTTTTATTATTGATGTATTTAGTTTAATGTATTCTCCTTCACCTTCAAACTATTTGGGATCAGTCACCCTTGTCCTATCCTTTCACTCATCTTAATTTTCTACATCCCCTACGCACCAATTTTTTTATAAAAAATTCAATATATTATTGTAATATTAAAATAAGTCTGAAAATAATTATTAGTAATAGTTATTTTTAAAATCTTCTCATTTATCATCATCATATATTATATTGAACATAGAAACAAGTATTATATAATTACAATAGCTCAATAATATAGATCAGTGAATCCCAATTGGTGGTCTTTAGGTTCATCTCAAGTGCTCCATAATTCCACAGATTATTTTTTTTAAATTTTATACATTTTTTGAATAAAAATATTAAAGAATATACAAAAGTTAAGTATGAAATTCTATATCATAATATGTAATATATACTTGATTTTAACTCGATAAATTTGCTATGATTTGCATTTTTATTTAATAATATGTTGATAAATGAATAGCAAATTGTATTTTTTCACAATATACCTAAATACATTTTATATATACAGTAGTTTCGATAATCCGAAAGACGCAGTAATCCAAAACGAGATTAATAATTAATGTATCACTATATTAATACATATTGTATATGTATCATAATAATATTAAATAAATATTTTAAATAATAAGGTTCATATTATGTAATAAATATTATATTAACTGGCTGTACACACACACACATACACACATATATATATATATAATTATAATACATTTTTTTTCTTAAATTACAATAAAATTGATGTTTTTATTAAACCTTTGGTAATCTGAATGACCTCTTTCCCCAATCTTGTTCAGATTATCAAGACTATTATATACTATTTATATATTTATTTCTATAGTTTATATTATTACTCATTGGTTAATAAAATATCTTTTTCTTCTCCTTTGCCTTATCTTGTCTACTATAGGTGGTATACCAATACTACCTCTCACATATTTATTCTTTATTCTATCTTCTCTTGTCATTCCATTCATTCATCTAAACATTTCTGCAACATTCATACTCTGTTTTATTCTCCTGTCAACCACCCAACACTGAACCTTATAGCATAGTTGGTCTCACTACACTTCTGTAAAATTTACTTATCAGCCTTATTGGAATTTTTTTATCTCATAAAGCACCCATTATTTCTCTCCATACTATTCAACCACACTTAATCCTATGTTTTACATTCATGCCAAAATCCTGTCCTTTTGTACAAATGATCCTAAATATTTAAAGTTCTCGATTTCACTTATCACTTTACCACTTATTATCATTGGGTTCCTCATACCCTTAACTTCTTGGTATCTTCCTCCAAAGTCATACTATATACACCAGGAGTCGCCAACCAGTCGATCGCGATCGACTAGTCGATCTTTCTAGGAATATAGGTCGATCGTTGTAAAAGTTTACTGCTATCGGTTGATCGCAATCGCAGTTCAATCGGATAACGGGAACATTAGATTATAATTATCATGAAAAAACTATAAATAATTTTTCTTTGGAGCTTAGACCTTTTTCTTTTTTTTTTTTGCTCATCAAACAAATCTCTTCCTAAAAACCTAAATTCTCATGGATATTGATCACCAGGTACTTAAATGTAAAATGTAGCTCACTTGTTTGAAAAGTTTAGTGACCCCTGATATATACTCTGTTTTATTTTCACTAATTTTCAATCACTTTCCTTCAAGGGCTAACCTCTACTCATCCAACCTATTATTAACTTCTTCCAGATTTTTTCCTACCAAAACTATATAATCAGCAAACATCATACACCATGGTACCTATCGCTGTGTGTCTTTTGTAACTTTATCCATTACCACAGAGAACAAATAAAGGCTAAAAGCTAATCCTTGATACATATCAACCCTTATGTTAAAATCTTCTGTTTCTTCATACAAACTCTACACAAATTCTCGAGCCTTTATACTTATCTTGAATCAAATTTATATATATTTTTGGGACCTCCTTTCTCATTAATGCACACTTTAAAATTTCTCTTGGTACTTTGTCATATTCTTCTTCTTCTTTCGAGAACTCTGTCATATGCCTTTTCTAAATCTATAAACATGCATAAGTTTTGCTAGTTGTCTAACACAAAATTATGGCTTCATTGTCAATTTTCCTGGCATAAAACTAAACTGATTTTGATGTTGATGTTTCACTTTTTATTCTCTTCTCTTTAATCTTTTCTTCCACAACTTAAATTGCTTTTTCTAATTGCTACTATTCTCTGAATCTACTCATCCCACCACCAGATTTTCTTATTTCTGGCATACTATTGGTTTTATCAACAACTATATTCTTAACACAAGTTACCATTCTTTTCCAAATTTCATTTATATTTTCCTGAGCATTCCATACAGCTTCTTCTTTTACGTTCTTAATAAACTAATTTTCTTTGTTTCTTATTAATTAGCATCACCTAATTCTCAATTCCTTTCCACTTTTTTTACTTATTATATTCGCCTTCTTTCCACTACACTATACCTCCATTATCATCAACCTAAGTTGTATTATTACAATCTCTCCTGGAATCATTTTACAATATTTTACTCTTTTTCTACTGTCTCTCTTCCGCATAAAATAATTAATCAGCTATCTATTTCTTCCACATAAAATAATCAATCAGCAATCTATTTCTTCTACTCTTATATGTTATATGATGCTATTCTCGTTTCCTGCAATATGAGTTGATTATTGCAAGCTCATCCAAAGCTTTTTCTTTGACCTAATTCCTCTTGCCAAATTCTTATCTTCTATGCACTTTTTCATACTCTACTCTCTCACTACCTACATGTTCATTCATATGAAGACTAATAACAGTATCTTTATTTTCTGGTATTTTTTGCATCACTTCATCCATCTCTCAACAAAAATTTTCCTTTTCTTCACATCTTATTTGTGACACATACATATTTATTACGTTTAATACTTTTTCCTCACATATAAATTTTACCGTAATAATTCTATCATTTTTTCTTTCTACATTGATTACCTTACTTTTCATCTCCTCATTCAATATTATTTCAACCCCATTCCTAGTACTAGTTCTGAATATATTATTTTATAACCCTCTCCTATTTCTTTTACTTTCTTTCCTTTCCATTTAGTTTCCTGAACGCAACAAATATTAAGTTTCCTCCTCTTCAATACTTCCACTAATTCACTACTTCTGCTTGTTAACGTTCCAACATTCCACGTGGCTATTATTTATACCTATCTTTCATACCTAAACACAGATTTAATCCAGGACGGCATCAGTGATGTCTCTACAACGTTGACATTACCTGTGTTGGTTAGACATGAACACATAAATGGTGAACCAGCTACCACAGTGGATGTTGGGCTGGTATCATACACTGCATCATCTAGGCCTTCTCCACCTCTATGATACTTCCTCTCATTTGTCTTCCCCGCTGTTTAGTTTTATATTATCTTATATGTTTCATATATATTTCCTTTATTAATTAATTGTTATTAATCTAATTTTTATATTTGTGGGTTGAAAAAAAAGAGTATAAAAATTTACAAAAATATAATAAAAGGGAGTAGTCGCGGTCAATTTTAACTCATATTGACTTGTTTGCCACTCCTGCTCTATATTATTTATCTTATTTTGGTAGTATAGGTTAATTTAAGTATTATAAATTTATTAATGTACTCACAAGTTTTGTTTGAAATTAATCATTTGTAAATCCAT